AAAACTTTAGCTGTCTCAACTGTATTTGTATATTCTGTGCAGGGTGTCAGTTAGCAGTGACCATTTACAACTCAACAGAATTTTGGGGGTTGCATTGATTTTTTTCTGTCTCTTGCTAGAATAAGAGAGAGAAGTGGGTGGAGGAAGCAACTTTCAAAAGCTGGGGATGGAAAAGGAGCAAACGAGCAACTGCAGAATCCAGGAATCTGGACCTACGACATCCCCAGAATTTCTGTGTCCTTTAAATACCCGTTTACCCTGACGTGTTCTCTGCCATGTGGCAATGCTCAGCTCAGCACAAGGGAGTTTTTCATCTGAGTTATGTGTGAAAGTCTTTTATAAACATTAAGGGGAAGAGGAATACTAAGGAGTGCACGGGGGAGGCTAGGGCCCCTCTCTGCACCCGGGGACTGCAGAACCACACGGCCGTGGTTATAACTAGTAAGAAGGTGGAGGCGAGCCGTGCCAGCCGCTGCTAAAGAGCAGGGGTGAGGAGGAGAAAGAGACTCTCTCCAAGTCTTCCCCCACAGCTTCCCTGCTGAAACATGCTGCGACGGAGGGCATTATACAGAAAACCAGGAAAACAGAGGTGCGCAGGGTAAGTGGCCCTCCAGATGCTTAGGACTTGTGCAAGCACAAGTGTGCAGGAGACCAATCACAGATTTAGTAACAAGACTGAAAAAACCTGCTGTCCCATCCGCTGCTAAATTCCTGCCGATCTTGTTTGGCACTTGAAATATTTTGGACCAGGCACTGAGAACTACAGCTCCAGTTTAGAAAGTGGCAAGAGGTTCACCATGGGCCAAAGTTAAGACTTGTCCTCCACCCGGAGCCAGTCCCTGCAGGTGTAAGGCGCTTCAGCAGCTTGCGTCCTCCTCCCACGAAATGCACGATGGAGTTCGAATGAAAGCAAACCAGAGCCTGGGTCTGCAGGTGAGCACTCTGTCATCCAGCTAAGGGCACGCTCGCTCTCTGCTGGGCCTTACAAGCAGCTTGCTGGAGCCAGAACAGCTTCAGGGGGAGATCAACCCCGAAACACAGAAGGACTGGAACCAGTTTCCAACATCCTCAGGGGACAATCAAACCACCCCGCACAGATTGGTTGTAAACGTGGAGGTGGATTCCTGGTAGCATCTGGAGTCTCACATTAATTAATAACATTAGTAACACCCACACTGGCAGATCACTACACTGTTCATGTATGAGGGCGAGAAATCTCTCCCTCCACCATCCTTTCTCCTTCTCACTTATTTGCATTTTAAATTCTGTGGGGCATGAATTACCTGTAGTCTGGCACGGGGTCTAGCAGAACAGGCCTTGATTTGGCACAGAAAATAATAAAGTGAAAACAACAACTTTGCTGACCAGCTTGGGAAACGAAATGTCAAATGGAAAAAAAAAAAAAAAAAGACAGAAATTTTGCTGACCAGCTTAGGAAACAAAATGTCAAATGGAAAAAAAAAAAAAAAAAGACAGATGCAGATTTAGGAATTGAAAACCAAGCAAATGACTGAGAGTATTATCAGGGGTGGGCAGAGGATGATGTGCATCAGGCAAAACAGAAGGGAGAAAGTTATTGTTAACTGCATTTATTATGATAGTGTCTTTCAAATAATTAAGACTGCAGTCCCACTGTGACAGGCACATATAAAAACACGGCCCCTGGACAATTACAGTGTAAACAGGTGTGAGACAAAGGACAAGGAGAAAGAGGACAATGAACCCCCAGAAAGATCAAATTAATTGAGGACAAACAGCTTGAGAAGGCTGCGCTATTTCTTGGCACACTAAATTTAATTAGAAAGGCATGAAGTGAAACAAACATCAGGTTTAAACTTAACGGAATTAAATGAAGGGAAGACAGAAGGAATGCAAGTTTTACGCTCCGAAGTACCTTGCTTTCATGCAGGTAGTTTTTACCACAGTGAAGAGGATTATTAGCTTTATTGCTCCTGCTAACATTGCTGAAAATTATCTGCCTTATGGGGATGGTTCTCGGAGAGGCGACGGTAGCTAACTGCAGGCTGGGCCGTTGACAAGCTCTCCTCTAATGCACACTGCAGAGCTGAGGATGAAAAAACACCCAAAACTCTGTCTCCAGGCTTCAACTCTGCCAAAACTTCCCTTCATGGTTATTCAAATTCCACACTTGATTCCCAGACCACGAAAGGAGCAGTAAAAACCATTTTTGTCTCGCCTTTTCTTACTGTGGAATATTTTGCTCTCCACAACTGGAAACTGTAGAATTTCAATAATTTATGTTTCAAGAGCATCAGACTGAGATCTGGTTTGCTTAGGCACTCGACTGACAGAAGATGGCAACCCCTGTTCCCAAAGAGCTTACGACTGCGACGGCGTAAAGCCTGAGCGAAGTCAAGAAATGAACAAAAGAGCAGGATGGAAAAAGCAGGCGCTATTTGCATAGAATAGGGGAAGCTACAGTTGTCAGCCAGGCTGTTAACACAGCTCACCATCTACCTCGCTAATTCTGTTAATGGCATTTCTCCATATTCATTATGGCAGGCAAGGAGTTCTAATGAGAATAAGGGGCTGTGAATGGATTTAAGATTGTGAACTGATTTAGTGAAGTTTTCTGGTGTCGCCCAGAATTACCACGCGACATCTCCTGTGGAGATGGAGAGCACACAGCGCCGACAGACTTTTTTTGCAAGCGTGTACCAAAACAACCAGCATGTAAAATTAAGCCATTCTAAGACCGCAGTGAAGAACAGAAAGCTTTCAAACAACAACCAACCAAACAAAAAAAGAAGCTCAAATTTTCCTTGCATTTCTTTTTCCTTGGGCAGGAGGGGGGAGAGAGGAAAGAGGGGTCACTTGGTCGTGGCCAAAAGCAAATGAGCTAAAAACTCCTGAGTTTTTTAAGCAGGGAGGAGAGTGGACAAGGCCTCCCTCCCAGCTGCCTCCCATGGCTTCATTTTGCACCAAATCCTAAACACAAGCATGCTTGCAGCCTGGGCGTTGTTGGCAGCTCCAGCGGGCTGGCCAAACAGCATCCCTCAATGGACGCAAACACCTCAGCTCCTGGAAAGACGTTCTCCGCTGACACGCTGCCCCACCAGAACAACAGAACAGCAAACTCCCAGGCCGTTTAAGCGTTTTACCCATTTAGTGGTTTACTTACGGCTGGGGACCCAGGGTTTGTACGTGAATTTCAGCTTCCTGTTCAAAGGCAACGTTTTCTATCTCCAAATTGGAAAAAGGAGCCTGCCAACTGAAGGCAGAGCAGCCTGGACAGATCCAAACATCCAACGAGCTTTCGGGCGGGCTCGCACCACGCCACAAACGCACACGCTACTGACCCCTGCAGACACATCTCCTCCACGCCACCACCCACACCTTGCACACGCAGAGCAAAGCTGCATGCTGGACACGACCCACAGCTCCACGCACACGCGCTGGGCTCGAAGGAACCCCGGCGCGCGCCCCAAGCCCACAGCCACCGTGCCTCGCGTCGCACCTTCAGGCGCGCAGTCGCAGGGGTGGAGGCAGACGGTGCGACCCGTTGTGGTACCCCGCCAGGTTCGGCGCTGACTGGGGCGCGCAGCCTCGACACGCAGCACACGCGTGGAGCGCTCGGCGTGCGCCCACTCCCCGCTCGC